AGCACATGTAGAGTGCTTCGTCATTGGAATAATCTTCTTTGTCCGTATTATCGACCTGCCAATTATTCAGGTACATGATGCATTACGGCATTAAGGAAAAAAAAAAAAGTAACCAGCTTAGTGAGAAGACAGAATAAAAATAAAATACAAACGTTCGCTGGCTAAAAATTTTTCAAAAAGAACATGAGCTTTCGGCTGTCGATCTACAGCCTTCGACGGATAAAAAATGGAATACAGAATGATAAAATATAAGCAAGAAAAGGCGAGATAAAAACAAAAGCAAAGTAAAAATGTGTAACTTAGGTGACTATTGTTTAAAAAGAATACTATACTGGTTTGGAATCGGCTTAGAATTATGGTCAGCATGTTTGGTCGCAGAGGTGTGCCAAGCCTCCAAAGTTTTTTAAATGCGAAAAGAGCCTTTGTCGATGACGCTGGAATTGTCAAAATCTATGCGATGGTGACCATGCATGTTTCGCAATGTTTGATCCATTAGTACATGCTTTAACATTCCTGATATGTTCTTNAAAAAAAAAAAAGTAACCAGCTTAGTGAGAAGACAGAATAAAAATAAAATACAAACGTTCGCTGGCTAAAAATTTTTCAAAAAGAACATGAGCTTTCGGCTGTCGATCTACAGCCTTCGACGGATAAAAAATGGAATGCAAAATGATAAAATATATGCAAAAAAAAAAAGGCGAGATAAAAACAAGAAGAAGAACAAAAGCAAAGTAAAAATGTGTAACTTAGGTGACTCTTGTTTAAAAAGAATACTATACTGGTTTGGAATCGGCTTAGAATTATGGTCAGCATGCTTGGTCGCAGAGGTGTGCCAAGCCTCCAAAGTTTTTTTAATGCGAAAAGAGCCTTTGTCGATGACGCTGGAATTGTCAAAATCTATGCGATGGTGACCATGCATGTTTCGCAATGTTTGATCCAATAGAACATGATTTAACATTCCTGATATGTTCTTTCTTACGAGTTTCAAAACACCGGCCGGTTTCGCCTACATAACACCAATCACAATCGGCGCAGGGTATCTTATAAATTGGTTGATGTTCAATAGATGGTCTGAATTTGAGCGAAGGAAATTCTTGTTGCAAAGTCTTGAAGGGCTTAT